CAATTGTTTCATAAATGAATCACATTTATATACTTATATAAATATATTAAATGTTTTGAATTTTCAAGAAAAAATCTCACACGATTAATTATGATTAATTTACTTAAAATTATGTGCATTTATTATAATAATAATTTTAAAGAGAATTTTTTTTTGATTTTTTTATTATATTTATTTTGAAATTCTCAAATCTTTGACGCAAATTAATAGATAATACTATTTAGACAAACATTTATACAAATTATAAGTCATATACTTATGCATTTACATTTTGTCGTGTAAAATGTCACGTAATCAATTATTTTTTTTACAAATCAATAAAACTATAATCTACTTGAGAAAAACATAATTTTAAAACTACTGTATATAATTAATTTTAAAATTTATTATTTACTTAGTCGTAAAAATCAGTATGATTAAAGCTTTCTGTCATGAAATAAAAACCTGTTTTTTTATTTTTAACATTTTGATCACATTTGACGGAATATTGTCACTTTATGTCAATTGTCAAATAATACTCCTTTAACTGTATATGTATGTTTTCCGAGAGAAATCTTTAGTGAGAAAATTTCAACTAATTATTAAACAATACAAATTAATTTATGGTATTACAATTTGAAATGAATTGAGCAAATTGCAAAAACAGACATTAAAAAATTTAACTGTCAAATTAAATTAAAAATAAAAACAATCAAATTGACATTAAAATGATACATAAAATTAAAATTTTTGAAAAAATTGTGTGAATTTCATACTATAGTTGCGAATTTATTTAGTGATCAAATTAATATTTCCCCTTGCTGTCAAATTATTTTCATTTGCTATCTGTCATATTATTTTCTTTAACTGTCAAAATTATTGTCTTAATACTTAAAAATGTAACTATTATTATTTAAGTACATAGTAATTATATATTTAAAAATTGTAACTAAATTTGGAATTACATTGTTGAAAACTTCGTATTAATAGAGGTTAGGTAATGAGTATATTCTAACTATTTAACTATGTAATCCGAATTATCTTAATCAAATTACTTAATGTTCATAATTTTTGTGATTGAGTGATTTTGTGATCACTGATAAACTCATTCAATTCATTCATTAATTTTATTACACTACTACAATTATTTTTGTCAATTTGAATCGTAAAACTTGCATACTCTCATCAACTTGCATGTCAAATTCTCACAAAACGTGACATTATATTTTTTTTTTGCAAAAAAAATGCATTTCAACTAAATATAATTAATTGATTAAATTTTAGTATTACTTAACTGAGGTGTTTATTACTTATTCAACAAACTTATTAAGCTTAATTCATAAAGTTTGTAATAAATTTTTCATTAGTATATAAGTAATTTTAATTGAATAATTCACAAGGCAGATTCTCATCAAAAAATAATCAATTGAAAACAACTAAAATTACTTATTTCAAGTATGTATTTATAAGTAGGTTTACTCATAATCTGTATAGTGAGTTATAAAAGCTTTTTTTCTCTTG